GCCGGGAGCAAGACCCAAGTGAGCCGCAGCACACCTGCCCCATGGTGGGAATCAGAAGGCAGCGCCCTCTGCTGGAAAGTGCGCTCTGGACTCCAGGGTCCACCGGGCAGCACTGCTCCTACCTGGCAAGCATCCCCACGTGCCAGCTGCCTGCTGGTCCCAGCAAAGCTGCCCAGCGGGGGTTCAGCCCCAGGTTACTTCTAAAGCTGAACCAAAATACTGCCCATCACTTCTGGCTCACACGTGAGATTGTGTGTTTCCATCTTTGTGGATTATCAAAGGTATTCAAGTCAGCCACCCAGAGCCAGGGGCTTTCCTGCTCTCGGCCACAGAGCTGCTGCAAGGGGGCAGGGAGAGTGACCCCAGGGGAGCTAAGAGCTCACTGCAGCACCCCAGGACCTCTGCAGGGGCAACTCAAGGGGGCACGGACATGGAGCATCCTGAGAGAGGTGAGGGGCTCTGTCCTGCGCTGGCCGGCCCTTCCTCAGAGCTGCTCTAGAGCCACGGCCCTCCAGCCTCCTCCACGGCCGCTCCTGCCCCTCCCTCCAGCCTCCAGAGCTACCCCAGCAAACCTCTCTCGCAGGCTGAGCTTCACCCCGGCACCTGCTCCCCACACAACCTAACTGAGTGGTCGTCCCCTCACAATCTGATTTCCGTCTCCTCTGGCACAAATCACCCCTACCAGACCAAACTCAAAGGTAGCCCCACCGCAAACTTCTCTGCAAGAACAGCTCTGTGCACCTCCCTAGGAAGAGGGACACGCTCTCACTCGGCGACTCCAGCCACACCAGGACAGCAGCTGAAATCAGAAAGCAATCCTTGGGAAGCCGGCCCTGAGCATCAGCTCATGGCCCAGCACCATGGGGCAGGCCTGTCGTCCCCACCACACTGCACACCGAGACAGGAGGCCTGGCATTCAGGACAACCTGGCAACTTAGCAAGACCCTGTCTCAAAATTCAAAAGGCTGGGGTGAAGCGCAGTGGTAGTGAACTTGCCCAGCAAGGGTGGAGCCCGGGGTTCAGTCCCCAGCCACCCCCTTGCCAAAAAAGTCACCAGCAGCTCTTCAGCCCCTGCGTTCCGTGTTCAGCGTGCCCCGAGTTGTGCGCACGACTGGGGCTGCCCCTCCCCACCCCCCATCCAGCATCACACTCAGCACATGGCCGTTCTCTTGTTTTGGATGGAATTTCTGAGCCGCTGTCTGGCAAGCACAGCCTCCTACAAGTGAAAAATCTTAAGAGCAATATAGGTATCGAGCCAATCACTTAGTTCCTTGGTTTAGAAAAGTGGGTTTTCATATATTGAGTTTTTGGAGCATCAAGGCAGGTGGGAAGAAAAGTCACCTCTGAAGTCCAGTTCCATCAGACTGGGCAATGCTGCCCAGGCCTCCCCACCTCAGTCTCTTCATCAGACACGGGGCAGCACCACTCTCCTTGTGGGCTTGAGACTTAAAACAACAGGCACGTAAAGCAGCTCGCAGCGGTGCGACCCTGGAGCCCCCCCAGAACAATAAACAGAGCAAGCTATCAAGCAGGGGCAGATTTAATATCAGTAAACACTTACAAAATGTTGCGAAGAAGAGCCCAAGAACTGTCCTGCCTGGAGCTGTGGCTGGACATGGCAGGGACAGCAGCAGCACGTAAGCAGCAGGGTGGGCACAGCGTGGCCTTGCAACAGCTTCCAAGTGCTGTGCGCTTAGTAGCTCCTCGCCGTGGCCGTTTATCATGGATTTCGCTCCCCACCCACTTTTAAAGCAACAGGGACAGTCTCCATCACTGATGCACGCATGCTGGCACAGGGGCACTGGCTCCAGCTCCTGGCCCCAGGTGACACAAGTTCTCCAGCAGGAGCCTGCCACCGCATCCCCGTGGCCCTCGAGCTGCCCCTGCTTGCCACTGCACGTGCCCTTTCTGCAGCCCTTCCACACAACACGGGCAGTGTGGCGATGGGGCACAGTGCCCACTGCCCTCTCATCACCATCAACATGATTCTCTGTCCCCACAACTCAGCCAGACCCAACCTGTGTCATCAGTGTGAACTCCATACCTTGTTTTGCAAAGATAATCAAAACATGGCAGATTCTTCTAAATCACCAGGGGAGACTACCTGGAGGTGACCCATGAGAACAGTGACTAAGTGCAGCATTTTGAAATTAGTAGTTCAGAATAATCCTCAACACCATGAAGTGGCTTTAGGAATAACAGACTGTCACGGGCGCTTTGCTTCATGACCTAGAACAGCTCATGTAAACCCCCAAACTCTGGTTAACTAAAGCAAACCCCACAAAATTTCTGAGAAATTGTTTTGTTTCATAAAATTCAGTCCAACCAAATGGCCACACAGACGATGGGAAGACTAAGTTGTGGGGATCCCGCATCACACAAGTCAGCACAGAGGAAACAGATGTGGCCCGCGCTTGGCTCTTTAAATACCAGCCTGCCCAACTTGTGACAGGAAAATCAAGACAGAGATTCTGACAGGCCAAGGGGGGAAGAGGAGTGTGGGGAGGGGAGGCTGAGCCTTGGCCAGAGGTGGATTTGATGGTGACTAGGGTGGACATGTGGCCCCAAGGGCTGCACCCCTGGGAAGTACAGTGGGAGCTGAGCAAGGCCGGGAGCCTAGGAAAGGACCATATGGGACTGGGCCAGTGACTGTCCTTCTCTCTGCTCCAAAAAGCCAGTGACTTTGGCTCTTCTCCAACACCTCGTTTCCCCCGTTTACAAACCGACCTCCATACCTCCTCCACCTCTGATTCCATCAGAGATGAAGTTTGGTGGGTCTGAGGACTGGGCGTCCCCAGGATCTTCAAATTCTGGCTGTGCCCATCTATGACATGATGGTGGGCAAGTAACTGGCCCTCTCTTTCTTCAGACCACTGTGTGGCACCCCCCAGTGCCAGCCACAGCACACGTGGAGGGCAGGCACCTGCGTGTCAGCATGTGCGGTGACAGCACGGGCAGCAGACACGACTTCGACTGAACAGGCCACTTATCAAAAACAAAACTGTCATTTCCCACTGGCCGCCCCAGCCCTGGCACATAGACCTGTCAGCACAGGGTACATCCTGGCCAGGGGGGGCCTCTGGTAGGGGCCAGTCTGGGGCCAGGCGGCACTGCCACAGTCCCCACATCATGTCAGCCTTCATCACCTGGCTGTCTTCAACCAGATCTGACACACTTCTCAGGTCCTGCCAAGATGGAGACCTCCGGCGGTGGACAGGCTGCAGATGAGCCCAGGTGGCCCACAGCGGGACAGCCGGCCGCAGGGGAATCACTCCTGGAGGCCTCTTCCAAGGCCAGAAGAGACTCTGTTCCCATCATGCCAAGTAGCAGTGTTCAGAAACAATGTAACCAAGGCGCTTCCTGAGAGGCAGGGAAAGTGGATACAGGGTGAGCGCAGGACTGACTCCTAAACTGGGGTGGGTGGCCATAAGGAAAGGACCAAAGCCGTCCTCAGACCCCACCGAGGCCCCTCCAAGGCTTGCCAACTGGGGAAACATGGATCAGCAATCCCCAAATGAGCCGCAGTGTAAACAGGAGACTCCCTTTTAGTTTCGACAGTGTGGGTCCCCTGGCCTTCCCCGCCAGCACCTGGCCAGCCAAGGGACCCCTGTATCCTGGCTCTCTGGGACGGTTTTCTTTTTTAACATGGTGGCCCTTATCCCATTCTGCCTGGGATAGCACTGCACACGGTTCTTTCTCATAAGACCTTAATATTTCCCAGGAAAATAACCCAATTGCTGCATTATTCTCTTAGACAAGACTTTAAATACTGGATTTAATTTTTTTTTTTCAGAGAGGCCACTGGTAAGAATCATTTTCTCTATTTCACTAAACTTCTCTCAAAGTTAAAAAAAAAACACCTACATTTTTCTCAGTGCAGCCTAGCTGCTAGTGATTCTCCTTTCCTAAGTACCCTGGGTCCACTGCTCCAAGGGCCTTTCCGTGGCCCTGGGATGGAGGTGTTTTCCTCCCCAAAGGCTCTCTGGCTATCGACCGACCCCATCACCTGACTGGACCGGCGGAGGCTCGCAGCCAGCCCGAGGTCTCCACGCCAAAGTCACATCGGAACCCTGGGCACGCGTCACCGGCCTGGCGGTCCCACCTGCAGCCCTCCCTCTCGGCCTGAGCCAGCAAGAAGTGAAACGAGCCCACAGCCGGCGGCTGGGCCGGGGCGCTCTGCGGGGTCCCGGATCCCGCGCCCCGAAATCAGGCAGGGGGCGCGCGCGTCG